TATATATATATATATCATAACTATGCCTGCAAATTCCCTCTCCCCCCCTTTTTTTTCTCTTTTCTCTTTAAGGACGGTCCTTTAAGCTCCCCTATCATTACTCATCGTTGAAGGAGTTATCGTTAGTCAGATTCCAATCGATAAGCCTATGAAAATCCACCGAGCCAGACATTCCTGTTGTACGTACTCGATACTCGACTCAAATGCGATTAACTAACACTCGTCCTCGCGATTATACACTTATATCCATAATAAATGCTAACGATGATATGACTTGCAACATCGAGAAGTTGTTTCGACAAGTTTGTTCATCCTCCTCCCTTATTCCGTCTCTCGATTTGTCCCTCGAGTTGTCCCTTTCTTTTTTCTATCAATTTTTTTTTTCCCCTCTTTTCTCTTTTTTCTCATCTTGCAGGATGACAATAATAATAATAATAATAATAATCGAATTTTTTTTACATGTAACGACACAGGGGGGGGGGGAAAACATACTCGAGAGGCAATCAATCAAGGGATCTGAAGAAGTATAATACACGAATATTCTTGCCGAAAATGAGCGACAATCGAGATTTTACACTGGTCGTTAGTGAATGCCTAGTAAATGATTCAGCAGCGAGGCCAAATAACGATGACGTTAGGAGCGAGAGGTCCGCGTTCTTACCATGGCACCAGGTTTCCCGGCATCCCCGGGTTTTCCGGACTCTCCTCTCAGTCCCATGGGGCCCTGCAAAGAAACAGATCGATGCGTCGATCAGTGATTCGATTGGGGGGCGAAGGGATGGGTCGATCGAAACCCCGAAATCCTTCGAAACTCGACCGACTTTTTCGACGAATTCTCGGGAAATTCGTTTGAAATTAGCGATGGATTCAAGTGAAGTGGAAACTTAAGCTAATTGATGGATAAATTTTTCGTGAAAGTTTGATCAATTTGTTAATTTTTGTAAATTATTATTTTTATTAAGTTTAGAAATTTATATTTAAGTTTAGTTCGTGATGATATAGCTAATAATGATGTTTTATGTAAATTTGATTCTGAAATTGGTGTATTTCAAAAATGTTGATAATTATCTTCTTCTAATTATCTTCTTGTATTTTATATTTAAAAGTGCAAAGTTCTATAATATTCATCCCTTTTGGCAAATAAAGAATACTTTTTAGTAAAACTGTATTATAGGTATGTTTATAATTTTTTTGTACAATTTTTGTCTTCTATTACTATTTATAAGAGATTCGATTCATTCTATAATATCAAAGTATAAAATTTTTGAAATTTCTAAATATTCATTTTGAGATAATCCTTTAACACTGATTTGGATTAAATTTGATACTATTGTCTAAATCTTCTTTGATTATTGTAATCACTTTGAAATTGAAAAAAAATAACTTAAAATAAATAAATTATAAGAAGATTATTATAATGTAGAAGGAAAAAAGAAAACGAAAATAGAGATATAAAATATTATTAGGCTGGCTATGAATCTAAATATATTTGAAAAATTCTGTAAAAAAAATCGAGAATTTCGAGTTTCGATAATTTCGAAAGTTTTGAGACCATAGAAAATTTCGCGAATCTAAAAATCAGATTTCGACCCATCTCTAATTAAATGTATCGTGTATGAACGAATATTTATATTGGTTCATTATTTTAGAATGCCATTTCTTTTTTTGTTTAATTTTTCTTTTATTCATGGCATCGATATGCATATATATTACTTATCGTGTAATTATTTCGTTTCTTGTTTCTCTGTATTTTTATTCTAGCAATATGATTATATTTATTATTATTGCATTTTTATTGGAAATCGAATTTGTAGAATTTTTTTTATAATACAGTAGATAATAGTTCGAAAAGTTCATAGAATTTTTTTTATTAAGATAAATTATTTTTCTAATCAAAAATTAATTATATACGAAATTTAAAATAAAAATTTTATTAGTTGTTTCAAGCAAGTAGTTGAAAATTAATATTTAAAAAAAATATGACAAAAAGTATATATATATATATATATATATATATTTCAACGAAATAACAAAATAATATCATCCCTTCATTTGCTTTATTTCGATGGAAAAAGAAAACATTCAAACAGCATTAAAAGAACGACGAAACAAATGGCAAAAAATTATGAAGAAAAAAAATCATCATTAATTTTCGCTACGAACTTTTCGAACATTTTATTTTTCGAAACTAACACTTTTCTTCGATACCTTTTCTAATACCTCAGGGATAAATAAATTTCGAGGATGGTTCCATCGTATGCATTTGACTCTATTCCTGGTATTTTATCGCGTTTTACAACCTACCTAACCTACAAACCTAATCTTGAGAGGAAAATACGTACGGGTAGTCCCATTGGACCAGGATCTCCTTTGGCACCCTTCTCTCCCTGTAATGTAAAAAAATAATCAAATGAGAATATTCCTATTCCATCGTTATAAACACGTTTTCGTTTCCTCGCCCTCTCGTTGATGTCACACGATATAATCTCGACTACAATACGTGTGAAAATACACATATAGAAGAAATAGATAATATCAATTTAACTAAACTCGACAAACTTTTTTTCTAACAACTTTTGCAGATTAAAATATTCTATTCTAGTCATTCTTTTTCTTTTTCTTTATTCTTCAAGATATTCATCAAAATTTTTCACTTTTAAGTAAGTAGAATGAGAAACATTTCTAGAATCTTAAGATAAACTTTTCAATTTGAAATATATTTTGAAATGAATATTTTGATGGAATGTTTCAACTTTTGAGAAGGATGGCGTAACAAATTGTATTAAAATTATACAAAATAATATCATTGATGATGTATAATGTTATAATGCGTTGATGCGTGTTCTACAAATTGCAATTATAGAATGATTTTTTTGTTTAATATTACTGACAGGATCGCCTTTGGCACCATCGTGTCCTCGGTCGCCTTTTATGCCAGGTGGACCTTGGAGCCCAGGAGTACCAGCTGGGCCTGGTGGTCCCGGTGGTCCCATTATCTGCAACCAGAGTTCATCTCGTAATTTCAAGAAGAGCTCAAATTTTATTTATAAACGTTTTGAACAGTGGTTCCCAATCCACGGATCTCACAATTTGGTTCATTCAAAGGATGCGAATATTGAGAATAAAATTGAGAATAAAATTTTTCGAAAATTTTCGTAACTTCCAAATGTATTCAAAGGCAACGTCGTTAAATTATTCCACGATGTTAATTTTTATACTGAAAAGGAATCGTAAGTTATTTGAATATTACAAAAGAGAATCACAACTCAAAAAAAAAAAAAAAAATTTGGAAAAAAATATTATATATTTTCGAGAGATTTATTTTCAAATTGTTCATCATTTTTTCAAATTTTCTTTTCCTCAATGTTAATTTTTAAATTTTTTCTTATGTAGGAAAAAAGAATTACAAAAAAACACGTTTATTATTTCTCGAGAGTTCTCTCCACAAACTAAATAAAAGTTTTTTCAAACTTTGCATCTATCTAAAATCTTGTTAAATTATTTCACGTTGCCAATTTTTTTTAAATTTTCCTTTCCACATATTTTATAAATTCGAAAAAGAAGAAGAAAAGAAAATTGGGAGACACTGTTATTGTTTATTACGCGTTTATTATATACGTTAAATTATTTCACGTTGCCAATTTTTTAAAATTTTTCTTTCCAGAATTTATAACTTTTATATCGATATTTTATAAATTCGAAGAAGAAAAAGAAAAAAAGAAAATTGGGAGACACTGTTATTGTTTGTTACACGTTTATTATATACGTTAAATTATTTCACGTTGCCAATTTTTTAAAATTTTCCTTTTCACAATTTATAACTTTTATATCGATATTTTATAAATTCGAAGAAGAAAAAGAAAAAAAGAAAATTGGGAAACATTATTATTATTTGTTATACATTTATTATATATGTTAAATTATTTCACGTTGCCAATTTTTTTAAAATTTTCCTTTCCACATATTTTATAAATTCGAAAAAGAAGAAGAAAAGAAAATTGAGAGACACTGTTATTGTTTATTACGCGTTTATTGTATACGTTAAATTATTTCACGTTGCCAATTTTTTTAAAATTTTCCTTTCCACAATTTATAACTTTTATATCGATAGTTTATAAATTCGAAGAAGAAGGAGAAGAAAAGAAAATTGGGAGACACTGGCATTACACGTTTATTTATTTATTTATTATTTATATGTTAAATTATTTCATGTTGCCAATTTTTTAAAATTTTTCTATTCACAATTTATAACTTTTATATCGATATTTTATAAATTCGAAGAAGAAAAAGAAAAAAAGAAAATTGGGAGACACTGTTATTGTTTGTTACACGTTTATTATATACGTTAAATTATTTCACGTTGCCAATTTTTTAAAATTTT